GCCAATGCTGTGAAGAGGGTACACCAGGCATGGTGGTACACAGACAGATGAATCAAGTTGTCTGGGTGCTGGGGTGAGTCTGGAGGGGCCTCCAAGATAAGACCCTTGGCTTGGGCACTGAGAAAACCAACTGGACCAGAACATTCTGATTGGAGGAAACAGCATTCGCAAAGGTCTGAAAGTAGAACATTTACTGTGTGTCCAAAATCTATAATGGTAATAATAATAGTAACAACAACAATAGTTAAAATTTATTGATCATTTACTATGTGCTGAGCTATTTCATACATGCTTTCTAATTTTAGCCTTTCCAACAACCCTTTAAAGAGGCTGGAATTACCATTATTCCCATTCACAGATGGGAAGAATGAGGCTCAGAGAGGCCCAGTTGCCCAACATCAAGCCAGTATGTGGGAGAGCCAGAATTTGAACCCAGGTCTGTCTGACTCCAGAGACAGTGCTCGTTGCCACCACCATACACGGCCTCCTCTGACCGGATCCAGGCTTCCCCCGCTGGCCCAGCTGTGGAGGACCCGCAGGCTTTGAACCCAGGTCCATTCCCTAAGACACCAGGGAGCCCAGGGCCCCGGCAAACCCTGGCCTGGCCCTCCTTCATTCCCTAGTCCCTTCCTGTCCCTCTAACAACGGGGCCTGTGTCTGTGGGTGACAGTGGCTGGGCAGGACTGAGAGATCCCAGGCAGGCCAGCCCTGCTGGTGGGGCTGAGCGGCCCACCATGGCCATGTCCGTGGGTCCACTTGCCTAGGACTCACATTCTTCAGTGATCAGGAAACACCTTGGGGCGCCTGGGTGGCTTAGTCGGTTGAGCGTCCGACTTTCGCTTAGGTCATGATCTCGCGGTTCGTGGGTTCGAGCCCCGCCTGCATCAAGCTCTGTGTTGACAGCTCAGAGCCTGGAGCCTGCTTCGGATTCTGTGTCTCCCTCTCTCTCTCTGCCCCTCCCCCACTTGTGCTCTGTCTCTCTCAAAAATAAACATTAAAAAATAAAATAAAAAAATAAAACCCTCCAGTGGCTGCTCCTCACAGGCTGAGGACAGTGCCCAGAGTCTTTGCCACATCTGGGGTCTTATGTGCCTGTCTTCCACAGGCCTCACCTGCCTGGGCCCTCACTACTCACCCCCTCTCAGAGCTCCAGCTCCATGGCTTGCCTTCCTGTCCTCAAAAAATGCCATCCTTGGGGCGCCTGGGTGGCTTAGTCGGTTAAGCGTCCGACTTTCGCTTAGGTCATGATCTCGCGGTTCGTGGGTTCGAGCCCCGCGTCGGGCTCTGTGCTGACTGCCAGCTCAGAGCCTGGAGCCTGTTTCAGTCTGTGACTCCCTCTCTCTCTGACCCTCCCCTGCTCGCGCTGTCTCTCTCTCTCTCTCTCTCTCTCCCTCCTAGAAATAAATAAAACATTAAAAAAAAATTTTTTTTAATTTAAAAAAAAAAAAAGGAAACACCTGGAGGCCATATGGCTTGACATCCAATGTAGACGGGCCACTCAGGGCTCTGAGCCCTCAGTCCCAGAGCCTGGCATGGATCAAAGGGCTGGGGGCCCCTGACCTGCTTCTACTCCTGGCCATGGCACTTCCATCCACTAGGCTGTACGGGCCAGCAACCTGGGAGGCCCTCCTGTCTCCTGCCTATCACTCCTCATCCCATCTCTCAGCAACTGCCGGTACCCCATCACAAAGCACACCCCCACCTGCCGCCCCCTCCCTTGGCCCGGCACCCCCATCTCTCACCCTCCATGACTCCCAACCACCCTCCCCTCCACAGAATAAAGGAGATCCTTTAGAAACCCAGATCCGGTCGGGCCCTTCCATCTCTCCACCTCATTTTGCTTTAAAACCCTCAAGAGGCATCTGGGTGGCTCAGTCGGTTAAGCGTCCGAATTCAATTCAGGTCATGACTTCACAGTTTGTGGGCTCCAGCCCCGCATCGGTCTCTGTGCTGACACCTCGGAGCCTGGAGCCTGCTTCGGATTCTGTGTCTCCCTCTCTCTCTCTGCCCCTCCCCCACTTGTGCTCTGTCTCTCTCAAAAATAAACATTAAAAAATAAAATAAAAAAATAAAACCCTCCAGTGGCTGCTCCTCACAGGCTGAGGACAGTGCCCAGAGTCTTTGCCACATCTGGGGTCTTATGTGCCTGTCTTCCACAGGCCTCACCTGCCTGGGCCCTCACTACTCACCCCCTCTCAGAGCTCCAGCTCCATGGCTTGCCTTCCTGTCCTCAAAAAATGCCATCCTTGGGGCGCCTGGGTGGCTTAGTCGGTTAAGCGTCCGACTTTCGCTTGGGTCATGATCTCGTGGTTCGTGGGTTCGAGCCCCGCGTCGGGCTCTTTGCTGACTGCCAGCTCAGAGCCTGGAGCCTGTTTCAGAATCTGTGACTCCCTCTCTCTCTGACCCTCCCCTGCTCACGCTGTCTCTCTCTCTCTCCTAGAAATAAATAAAACATTAAAAAAAAATAATAAAATGTAAACTGCTTATATAAAAATCACCAAGAAAAATACTGAGCTACTTTCATACAGAACCTCAGGTCATATGGAGCTAGGCCCATACTTCTAATCAAAATTATAAATTGAAACCAGAGTGGAACACCGTGCTCCACCTCTCATTGGCAAAGGTTTTTGTCATTTTTTGAATTATATTTTTTGAATTTTTATATTTTAAGGAAGCCCTATGCCCAATGTGGAGCTTCAACTCCCAGCCCCAAGATCAAGAGTCACATGCTTGGGGCGCCTGGGTGGCTCAGTCGATTGAGCATCCGACTTCAGCTCTGGTCATGATCTCACAGTTCATGGGTTTGAGTCCTGCATCGGGCTCTGCGCTGACAGCCAGCTCAGAGCCCGGAGCCTGTTTCAGAATCTGTGACTCCCTCTCTCTCTGACCCTCCCCTGCTCACGCTCTCTCTCTCTCTCTCTCTCTCTCCTAGAAATAAATAAAACATTAAAAAAAAAAAATGCCGTCCTTCCTACTTCAGGCCCTGCACCTGGCTGGCTGGTCCCTCTATCCAAACTTGCCCTTTGGGCCGCTCATTCTCTCACCTTTGAGGTCCCAGCTCCCACTACTCCCAGTGGAGGCCAGGCCCTGCTATGAGCTCTTGTCCTCCTTGAAATCAAATGATGTGTCCAACCCTTGATAGACCTGGAACCCAGGGAGACAGGGCTCTCCATGCTCAGCGTGGGCTCTGGCAAACAGTAGGTGCTCAATAAATGACTACTATTGCATAAAGAAAAGCACCAACCCCCAGCTCTTCAGCATCCCTCAGACCCTCCCCTGCTGGAGGAAGAGGGATGGGGGAAGAGCCAGATGGCCTTGGGGAAGGGCGCGGGGCTCATGCCCTTCCCTCCACATGCCTCTACGACTTCCCAGAAGCAGGAACACCTGACAGTTGTTCACGACGGGATCACAGACAGAGGGACGCAAAACCAATGCGTGGTAAGTGGGAGTCATCATCGTCTAAGTTCTCTGATGATGGAAAAGAGTACATTTTTCATTAGCCTAGACGCCAAAAACAATGAAAAGCCAAGCATTTGGAAAGAACTGAGTTGGCCGTGGCCCTTTAAGCATGTCACCTCTCCAGCTAGGGATGTGCTCAGCACCCTGCCCAAGCTGGTGTGCTCAGCTCAAGCTTTTCCTCAGTCAGGACACAATGTGGAGTCTTTCTAGTTTGCTGGAGTGATTTGCCGGGTCTCTTTATTCTCCAGGTCCCTCCAGGGGCTCTCCACTGGCCATGGGGCCAGGTGTCCCCACCGTCCCCAGACCTGGGTCTGAGTCCCTGGGAAGGGTAGCCAGGGACACAGCAGAGGGTGACATGGCCCCATCCCCAAAGACTCATCCTGCCACCTGATGGGGACAAAGCCTTGAGGGATGAGAGGAGCAGGCGATGGTCAGGGCGGGTGGCCAGCAAGGGCTCTTAGTGGGCTGGGCTGAGAGCCCGGACGGCGCTTCCTCTGACCGGCATTGCCGATGACAACCAATCACAGCTCCCCGGGTCTCACCCAAGGCGGAACACCGGCTGCCCTAGACACCTGGCGCAGGGTGCGCTCACGCGGTCACCTATAGGTGCACAGATGGTGGGGTTCGCCGGTGTCACGCAGATAGGACAGAGGACAGAGCCCCTCACCTCTCTGCTCTAGGCCCGCGTGCAGGGTGGGGAGGCCCTTGGGAACACACTTCCCGCAGCACATGCGGATGTGGTCCAGCAAGACGGAGGCTGAAGGCCAGGCAAGGCCCCAAGGGTGATTCAGGGACTCAGGATGTGGTCCGGCGAGACTCAGAGTTGCATTTGGATTTAAGGCCACTGGGCTGTCTGGTGGCAAGTAGGGAAGAGAGGCTGGAGGGCAAGAAGGGGCAGGGGTGGCCAGAGAGAGAGGAGGGGTGAGGAGGGACAGTGGCCCAGAGACCTCGGGGATCGGAGCACCACTGCTGCAGACAGCTCCGCTAGGTGAGCAGAGCTGGTGGGGCTCCGAGTGTCCGGGCTCAGAGGCTCGCACACCTGTCACAGCATCTCTACCACCTGTCATGGCGTCTCCACCGTCCGGCTCTAGCCCGCAGCTAGTCGGCCTCCTCTCTTCCCGGTTCCTTGTCCCCAGCTGGAGGAGGGGGGCTCCGAGCCCAGCAGCAAAACTGCAGCCTCCTACCTTTGATCTGGGCAAGGCAGGAATGGGGGTCCCGCCGCCCCTGCCACTGCGCTCTGTCGCTCCTGCAGTCCTCACTGTGGCCACACAGCCCCGCCCCCTTCAGTCAGGGAGCCGCCCTTGCTGCAAGCCTGCCATGGCCATGACCAAGTCCTTGTAGCCGCCCAGCGAGAGGAACTAGGTGATCCATATTACACACAAGGAAACCAAGGCACAGAGAGGGGCAGTGACCTGTCCAGGGTCACTCAGGGAGAAACTGCAGACACGGGATCCCTGAGATCTGTGTCTCAACCCCAGCTCTTTCCCCCGCCCCAGGCGCTCCCATAAAGAACAGCGCTCCACACTCAGCGGCACTCAACCTGCCGCACAGGAAGTACTTTATTACTTCTGATCTGCTCAGGGCTCTTCCCAACTGCAGAGCAGTGAAAAGGCAAACCAGCTAAGGTCAATAAGGGATTTATGGCTCAAAAGCCCAAGAAAGAACGTGGCAGTGAGGGTTCCAATGCCCCTCCAGGAGAAAAGCTTCTGGCCACGGGGGTCCCATGCCCATCTCTGAACCAACCACAGCCTCAGGATGGGGCACTCTGATTGGCCAGGCCTGGATCACCTCCTTCGCTGTCCTCAGCAGTGGGCACGGGGCTTGCTACAGAAGGGAAGGGGGGAAAATACAGCTCAGAGAGGTTAAGCAACCCTCCCAGATCACACAGCATGCCCTGAATCTGTGTGTGTGTGTGTGTGTGTGTGTGTGTGTGTGTGTGTGTGTCTATGTGAAGTGGGGATGGTGACACAGTAGTTTAGGGAAGAGATTCTCCTGGCTTCTGTGGGAGAAAGTTCAAATGTCCTTTTTTCTGGCATTGAGGTCCTCCAAGCTCTGGCTTCTGTTAGGCCGTCTCTCTCCCCACCTCCCCCTCCAATCACCCCTCCCAACATGTGCAACCCCCAAAGATATGTCCTACCTGCTCTGTCGGACTAGGCATGTCTGACAGGGGTGGGGCCTTACCCCTCTCTAAGCCCCTCCTCCCAGCCCTCCTCCTCCCCTCCCCCCCCCCCCCCCCCCCCCCCCCCCCCCACTCCTGGGGCAGAGCTCAGGGCAGCTACTTATGACATGTGTGGATTCTGGAATGAGCTAGAGAGGATATAACAGTCCTCAGGTCAAAAACCTCCAGACACAGTCAGCCCACCACCTCCAAAGCCAGATCTGCTGCTGCTGCTGCTGATTTGGGGCAAGTCAATCCCACCCCCACCCCTCAAGCTGGCCGCAGAGCTCACCTGCCTTGGGGGCTTCTCCTCCAGGTCTTCTCTGGGAGATCAAAAGTTTTCTCCAGGCCCAGGGTACACTCAAGAAGATGCCCTAAAAGACACACACTTGTGGACACACACACACACACACACACACACACACACACACACAGCACCCCAGCTGTTTCCTTCAAAAAGGAAGAAAACAGTCTTCCCTTCCCATTCAAGTCTTCCCTTTGGGGAAGCAGCCCAGGACCCCGGAGATGGGGGTTTCCGGGGGAGAAAGAGACACCCCCGTATCTCTGCCCCTACGGGGACCTCCCTAGAACAAAGAAAGAATTTCCCAGGCTGAACGCAGGTGCCCAGCACCCAACCCTGGCGCCCAGCCCCGTGCACACCACACGCAGGCCTCCCCATGGACTCTCGAGTCCGAACACGTCCCTGTTCCCACTCATGAATACTCTCACGACACGGGTGGACCCCACTCGCTGTCGCAGCCCCCAGGGCCCTCCTTCCCCCACCCGCCACAGCACAGCCGCTGCAGAGCCAGGACACAGCGAGCCCCTCCATCCAACCCGCGGGCGCGGGAAAGCCCGAGGGTGCAGGGCCCGCGTCTCTGGAGCCTCGGTCGCCCAGGCATGCGTGGCAGCTGCGGGGACCACGTATGAGCTGGGGGATCCTGCCGCTCGAGGGTCCGCCTCTCCCCTGCCCGCGCGTCCGTCTGGGCCTTGGCCTTGGCCTCCGCCGGCGGATGTGCGACCCTTAGCGCCCCAAACCCAAGCGGGGGTCTCCGCGGACCGACGGGCCGGCGGCGGCGGGGACGGCCACGCGGGACCGAGAACGGCCGAGACGCGCGGCCGCGGGAGCCGCCGGGGAGGCCCAACTGCAGCCTCGTGGCGCCACCTAGGGTCCGCGCTGCGGCGGCTCCCCGGCCCCGGGCGCCCGGGCTCCTCCTGCAGACCGTCTCTGACCCTGGGGTGGCCCCGCCGCCCCTCCCGGAGTCAGCCCCAGGGTTGGCGCGCGCGCAGCCACCGCGTCACAACCAGAGAGGCCCCGGAGCCCACAGCTGCGACCTCACCTGCCCCCCTGCTCTGCTGCACCGCCCCGCTCCGCTTCCGCGTTACAGAAGGGGACCCGGAGGCTCGGCCACAACCTTGGAAGCGGAGAAACCAGGCCGGGACCCTGACTGTGGGGCGTGTGGAATCCGGGCAGCTGAAGCTGGCCTGCCGCCCCCCTGGCCACTGACCATGCTCACCGGTACCCACCCGCCTCATCCAGGAACAGCCCCCTGCCTCCCCCGCTCCTCTGAGCCTCCGGCCTCCCCCTGAGGCCCCACCCACTGCCTGCTCCTCTGGCCTCAAGAACTGCCCCCCCCCCCCCCCCCGCCCCCAACACTGTCCTGGAGTCTTAGAAAAAATCACACCAGGAAAAAAGAAGCTTGGAGACGCAGCCTCACTACTCACCTTGGGCCCAGAAAACAAAGACCTGTGCAGGCTCCTTTGCCCTGGCCTGGTCTGTGTCAGACTGTGTCTTGTCCGTCTGGACTGGAATCCTCAGGCCCCTCCCTCTGCAGGGACAGGGTGATGCCAGTGGTAAGAACTTTGGCGCATAGGCTCTGGGCCAGGCCCTGTAATCCTCACTCCCAATCAACCCTGCGGGGGAGTATTATTACTGTTCTGTTCTAAACTGAGAGTCAGCGAGGTCAGGGGGCTCCCCGGAGCTCCCACGTAGCAGGGGAGGGGCAGAGTTGAGATCGGCCGGTGACGTGACCCGCTCACTCGTATATACAACACACGAGTCACAGTCATACTGGTCACGCGTGTCAGGTTCCAGCCCAAGCCTGGCCCTCAACGTCCCCAGCATGGCAGATGCCTCCAGGCTGACCCCCCAGCTTTACATATGGGCAGACTGGGTCCACAGAGACACGGGGACTGGCTCGGGATCACACAGAGCTGCTGTGGTCTAGGCTGCTCAAAACCCAGGCAAGGCAAGAGTCTCGGACCCAGCCAGGCCTCCAGGGCTGCCACCCCCACTGTGTAGGGTAAATGGCTCAGCTGCGGCTCTCCACCTGGGAAGGGAGGGATGCAAGGGAGGCGACTGACATTGACATAAACAATAACAAACCCAGAGGTCAGAGCTGAGGCGAAGTCTTGGCTGGGGCTTGGAGAAGCCCAGGGGTGAGACTAGATGTGGGAGGGGCTGGTCAGGGAAGGAGTCCCAAGGAAGTGACATCCAATGGGTTTTAAAGGATGAGTAGGGGGGCGCCTGGGTGGCTTAGTCGGTTAAGCGTCAGACTTTCGCTTAGGTCATGAACTCGAGGTTCGTGGGTTCGAGCCCCGCGTCGGGCTCTGTGCTGACTGCCAGCTCAGAGCCTGGAGCCAGTTTCAGTCTGTGACTCCCTCTCTCTCTGACCCTCCCCTGCTCACGCTGTCTCTCTCTCTCTCTCTCTCTCTCCTAGAAATAAATAAAAAATATTAAAAAAAAAAAAGTTAAAGGATGAGTAGGAGTTTGCCAGTGGGAAAAAATGAGGGCTGGGAAATTTCAGGGAACCCAGGGGGTTTAGAGGCCTGAGGGAGCATGGCCAGTTCCATCCGTACCTTGGTAGTTAAGAGTATGGGCTGGAGAGGCCTGGATTAGGGTCCCAGTCCTGCTCTGTGACCTGTGGCAGGTGACTTAATCTTTTGAGCTTGCATTTCCTCGTCTGTAAAATGAAAGCAGTGATAATCTCTTCAGTCACGGGGCAATTGCAGAGTTAGCGCAGGGCAGGACGCACAGAGGAGAACACGCAGGTGCCCAGTAGAAAAGACTAGAGGCTATTGGTGGGGAGCAGACAGGAACAATGAATGATGTGGCTGAGGAGGCCATCAGAGACCAGATAGATAGCAAGGGACCTTGAAAGCCAAGCTAAGGAATTTGGCTTCCTGCTGAGGGCAGTGGGAAGGAGGGGAAGGGCTTTGAGTCAAGGAGTTAAAGTAGATTTGTGTTTCAGAGGGAGCCCACGGAGCAAAGGCTAGGGTGTCCCTGAAGAAGGATGGAGAGGAGGGCCTGTGCTCTAACCCCAGCCGTGTCCTTGCCCCTCCGCCCCCCCCCCCCCAGCCCCGATGCGTCTCATCCTCAGCTCTGTGAGGTGAAGACACTATCCTACCTGATTCTGAGGCTGAGCGGGGCTGGGGCAGGGCCGGCCTGCAGCTGTGGCCCCAGACACCTCAGGCCCAAGCACCTGCACCCCCAGAGAAAGAGCCGGGGCTCCCTGTGACCAGGCCTCTCTCCCTCAGAGCCGCCCTTCCCCCCACCACACACAGAGACACACTCCGAAGTCCCCATTACAGAGAAAGGACAGGCGGTGCCACCATAATTTCTATTTCCTGCTAAATAGATGCTCCCAGACCTGCTCCCACAAAACCAATTAAAGCACCTGCCTGGGATGGGGCTTTGTCAGCAAATTATTTCCAGGCTCTGAGGCCTGGGAATAAATCTCAGAAGGATGAAGTGGATCAGATGAGGAGGGGCGCTGGAGATGGGGGGCTCGGGCAGGCAGGCGGGACAGAGGGTCACTTTGCGGCCAGGCAGCAGCAGGCGAGGTCTTCGCTCAGCGCTCAGACCCCCAGCCCAGACCTCTACGGTTGTGCCAGAGAATCTGTCAGCAAGGAGTCCAGACATCCTGGCTCCGTGTCGGGAACTCTCCCTGGGAAGCTGCTTGGAAATGACTTCCCGGGCCGTGGTAGGGAGCGGTGGCCTGAGCACCCCCACGTCATCCTCAACACCACCCGTCCCGCACCCCTGGGCGGCTTCTCCACCACAGAGCGGGGAGTGGATACAGACAGCCTCGGTGGGAGTCAAGAGGCTTTGGTTCCCAATTCACTGTGGGAACCTTGTCCAAGTCCTTCCCTGCTTTGGGCCTCAGTGTTTCTATCTGTAAAATGGGGATGGATGGGAGTTTGGCCAGCCCTCCCAGCTCCAAAATTAGTGGTACCTGTGAAACTCTAGCAGCCTTCTGGTTCAGGCCCAGGCTGGCCTTCTAGAATGCCATGGACTCTCTCCTTGGGCAGGCAAAGGCCAGGGGGTGGGTGGAGTCCCATCCAGTGCAACCACTACTGAACCCAGGAACTCAGAGCCTGGCAGCAGGAAGGAAGAGGCCGAGGGAGCCCTGGATGGGGAAATGGGCAGTGATTCCTACACAGAGGGCAGAGGCTTCCCGGGGAGGGATCATTGGAGCTAGGCTTTGAAAGTTGAATGGGAATTCACTGAGTTGAGATGTCATGCTCCCAAAATAGAAATGATTCCGGTTCACTTGCCATCTCTGAGAATTCGGAAAAGACGCTCTTTCTTCTTCTTTACTCCCATCTTTCAGGAAATTGTCCTAACTTTAGGACATCTGCCATGTCTTCTCCACGAACAGTGAATGCCCCTGGGATTGTGCAGTGTACAACTTCCACAACTGCACTGTAGCTCTAGGAGAATCAAGTCAGAAGGGGCAAGGAGCTGCGCATCCCAGCAACCTTAGGAGGCACCGAGGCAGCACAGAGTCCTCCTGCCAGCAGAGGCGTGCAAAAAGAATGCCCTCAGGGGTGACATCGGATGTGCCCCATCCCCAAACACTACAGATTCAGAAGAATCTGTCTGTAGATAGAGAAGAATCAGTAGAGTGACTGATACCACCACGAATGTTCACCTAACCCCGCAGCAGGATACAGTGGAAGAAACTGAGGCAGCTGGAGACCACGTCACAGAGGGACTCTGCGTCCGGGCTTGGAGATTCCCATGGTTTCCCAAGAATGTCTTTTTATGTTACACATTTAATTCTTCATGTGTCAGGAAAATCTATATATACTCAGCCCTTCAAATCCAACATTTCATGGATATTAGAAATGAACATATTTTTTGAAGCAAGAAAAATCACAAGTAAATGAGAACAGGTGGAATGGGCCACGGACCTTGGAGGGGCTGAGACGCAGACACCGCTTCCTCTTCTCCATCGGCACCCAGCGGCTGCGGCCCCCGGGCGAAGGGACAGCAGAGGAAAACCTGAGCGGGCCACTGGGTGTGAGTCCACCCTGACCAGCGTGCAGTCACTCAACACCGATGGCTCCCAAGGGCCCCTTCATGCCAGGCCTGCAGGGAGCCAGGGACACCCAGGAGCTCACCTTCCAGGCATGACTTCATGACTTTGGTCGTGATGGGGAGAGAACGAGGCTCAGGGGTGAGCGCACGTGCCCGAAGGTTCTCGGCTGGCACGCTGAACAGGAGGATTCCAGGATCGGCTCCTCCACTGTGTGTGTGGGCAGAGAGAAGCTGGGCTTGTCTGAGGAAGTTTCCCGGGCCCGCGGGGCCAGCCCAGAGCCTTCTGATCGGTCCCGCTTCTGCACCGCTGGGCAGGGCTGGAAGGGCCTGGGAGTCAGGATTTGTTCTGGTTTTTGTTTTTAATAAAGGTGATTCTAAAAAGCAGTCCAGTCCAATACAGTGACACGAGCTCACACAGCTTGTGACAAACTGTGTGGCTTTGGGGCCATTACTCAGCCGCTCTGGGCATTAGCTTCCTCATCTGCAGAGTAGGGATCCCGATATCTCCCACAGAAGGGCATTTTGAGGACAAAATGAAATAATGTATGTGTATCAGTTCATGTCCAACCAGGAAAACAGTATTTAAACGGGGAATGTGATCCAAGGAATTGACCACACAGGAGACGGAAGAGCTGAGAAGGCAAACTGGATGGGGCAGTGACCCAGAGACTACTGTAGCCGGAAGCCACTTTCCTCTGGGCACAAAGGGAGGACATGAGGCTTCCAGGGGCCACCTGGTGAAAGCCAGGACCAGGGAGGGCTCATCCAAGGGAGAGGCCGCACAGCACGAAGTGCCCAGCGCAGTCAGTGAGTGGCTGTACTTCCTGTTCTTTTCCTTTCTATTATTTTGTTGATTTTTTAAAAAAATATTTATTTAATCTTGAGAGAGAAAGCAGGGGTGGGGGAGGGGCAGAGAGAGAGACAGACACAGAATCCGAAGCAGGCTCCAGGCTCTGAGCTGTCAGCAGAGAGCCCGATGGGGGGCTTGAACCCACAAACTGTGAGATCATGACCTGAGCCAACGTCGGCCGTTTAACCCACTGAGCCACCCAGGCGCACCTTTTCCTTTCTATTATTAAAATAATGCAGCCTCAATATATTAACGCTGTTTTGGTTGTAACAGAAACCTACCCAAGCAAGGTTAAACATGGGAAAAAAAGGGAATTTAATAAAACGCTACAGGGGCGCCTGGGTGGCTCAGTTGGTTAAGCATCCGCCTTCGGCTCAGGTCATGATCTCACGGGCTCGTGGGTTCGAGCCCCACGTCGGGCTCTGTGCTGACAGCTCAGAGCCTGGAGCCTGCTTCGGATTTTGTGTCTCCCTCTCACTCTGCCCCTCCCCTGCTCATGCTGTCTCTGTCTCTCAGAAATAAATAAACATCAAAAAAAATTTTTTAATAAAATAAAATTAAATAAATAAGTAAATAAAACGCTACAGGAGAGTCTCTAATATCCAAAGACAGGTCCGTGGCCTTGACCCAGGACCAGGA